TTATTGTGAAGAAACATAAAGCATAGTATAAAGTTCTTAAAGTTGGGGCACCTGGGTGGCTCAGTGGGTTAAGCCGCTGCCTTTGGCTCAGGTCATGATCTCAGGGTCCTGGGATCGAGTCCCGCATCAGGCTCCCTGGGAGCCTGCTTCCCTCTCTCTCTCTCTCTCTGCCTGCCTCTCCGTCTACTTGTGATCTCTCTCTCTGTCAAATAAATAAATAAAATCTTTAAAAAAAAAATAAAGTTCTTAAAGTTAAAAACCTGTAACATGTAAACATAAAATGAAAATATTTCAATGATTTTGTTCAACTCGTAAAGAATGAAGAAACCAGTAAGATGTTAAGACTGGCTCAGAGAAACTGATGAATTATAATCAGCCAATGAACTCTGAAATAAATTTGCAAATAGATGTAAACCTGTTTAATATCCTGAAGGGCAATGAACTAAAACATTCAGAACTCTTTCCCACCAAACAGAAAACAAGGGCATCCAAACACAACAATTGCATCTGTCCCATTGCATTGTTATGGGAGGGAATAGTTTGCATGACTCTCAAAAAAGAATTTTTTTGCAATTATATCAGTTTTCTATGATTTAATCTCTACCCATACAAAATTTTTAAATAGCTTAGTCAGTGGAAAATTACTTAATTGTACACACCTCCCTCTAATAGACTTATAATCCCAGGAGGATCTACTAGATCATGTTCAGCACTCCACTGAAAGGACACCAGTCATCTCTTTTATTTATTTCCAAATTTTAGATAATTTTTCTTAACAGTTTTTTTGATAGAATGGTGCCTTTCTGAACATAACTTTATTTTTAAAAACTTATAATGCATATGTAATGCTCCAAAATACTTTTGCTTGGGGGCGGTGTTTTGTTTTGTCTGTGAAAAGAATAAATTCTTTGATCTCTAAAATAGAGACTACCTTACATGTAGCACAGTTGTTCATTACATGTATTTAATGTTAGCATCTATTCATTCCCTCCTTCTAGACTCATTTTTTGTTGTTTAAAATACAGTCACTTCCTCTACCCCTTTGCCCTTTATAATCCTAAACATACTCTGAGTAGAAGTTCTCTTTTTTAATCTGTTATGTTTTTGGACAACAAGAGAGTTGATTTCCATAAAACAGTGAATCTGCTGAAGTCTTTAGTGAATTTTTTTTAAGATTTTATTTATTTATTTGACAGAGAGAGAGAGATCGCAGGTAGGCAGAGAGGCAGGCGGAGAGAGGGGGGAAGCAGGCTCCCTGCTGAGCAGAGAGCCCGATGTGGGACTCAATCCCAGGACTCCGAGATCATGATCTGAGCCGAAGGCAGAAGCTTAGCCCACTGAGCCACCTAGGCACCCCATCTTTAGTGTATTTAATCTAAATGGAATAACATCTGTGTTCCATTATTTCTTTTAAACAGTGAAAAATTATATAGTAAGAATGTTTTGAAGCCTTAATCTTATAGTGAGGCAGGTTTCATAGAATATCTGGAGTCAATCTGTAGAAAATCTGGAAGCATACAGAGGCTCTGGAAATAGGTTGGTTTTGAATACAAATATAAATTATTATTATTATTATTATTATTACTATTATTATTATTATTTTGTCAGAGATGTGTATTCTATGTGTATCTGAAAAGGTTTATAGGTTCCCCCCCCCACTTTGGGTTCATTAATGATGTTTCAACCTCTTGTAGATATACCTATAAAGGAGAGAATTTAGAATTTTTATTTCCTTTTGTAAACTTCTTCTCCCCATAAATATCATGACTACTTTCTGCCAAATTGGGAGATTTCCAGATTTTTCTCTTAAATATTTTGGAACATCCTGCCCTAAGAATAAAGCAGGAAAACAATATTAGTTTGGAGATAATCTCTGGCCAGAAATTCCACATTATAGTAAGTGATACTATAGTCATTTAAAGTAAGCTAAAGAGTTGCATGGGTGGCTCAGTCAGTTAAGCGGCTGCCTTCAGCTCAGGTCATGATCCCAGGATCCTGGGATTGAGTCCCGCATTGGGCTCCTTGCTCAGCAGGAAGCCTGCTTCTCTCTCTGCCTCTGCCTGCCACTCTGCCTGCTGGTGCTCTCTCTCTCTCTGACAAATAAATAAATAAAATCTTTTTTAAAAATAAGCTAAAGAGAGATGAGACTTTCTTTTTGACCGTTTGACTGATAACCCCACAGAGTAGAATCTTACTTAAAAAAGAGTAGACCTGAATTTTCTCAGGTTTAGGTGGTAAGTGTTAACAGACAGCCAAAATACATGGTTGAACTCAGTTTATAGTCCCTACCTGAAATACAAAGATTTTGAGCTCAAGTGTAGAGGCATGGAACCTCCGGGCCTTCAAAGGGAAATACGGAGGAAGACCTGAAAGTAAGGCCATGTGTGAATTCAGTCCACATCCTGCACTCCACCTCCACACTTCCTTGGATCTTACAAACTATGCCAACTTGTTGCATAAGAATGACCAGACTCAAAAGTTTAAAATAAATGTCTGCCATTTATTAGAATTGTTTCTCAGGAAGGAAAAAGTAGAATGCCCATCAGGCAGGGGCTTGAAATCACTCCAACCTCATGTTTAATACATCAAAATTACAGGTTTTCTCTTATAATTTAATGTACTAAAAATCCCTGTAAGACTTGTGTTGATGAGTTGTGGAGAGAGTGAAACTGGAAAGGAACAATGAGAGAAACTAGTGGTCTTCTGGGGAGGATGATGTGGACCTTTTGAAATAGTGAACATTAAAGACACTATTTGATAAGAGTTCTAATAGCAATCGAAGTACAGACAAATACACATTTGAACAAAGGAAGTCGCATCACTTGCTGAGAAAAGCAAAGGTGAATGGCATGGAAGATCCTTAAAAGAGTAAAAATGTACTTTCAAGGGAATGAGACATTAAGGGCTTCTTAATTAGTTGACTTTTTTCACTTTTAAGAATAGTGAATCCTCTCCTTTTGGTTATGCAAAAGCTGATTTCATCATTAAATGGAGATCAGGTTGAGTTGGAACTAAAAGCACATTTTAGTGATTTGGACATGATGAGCTGAGATGAACTGAGGGATCCAGAATGAGTCCAAGTTTCTGAATTGAGCAACAGGGTGAATTGTAGGTGTTGATTATTTAAAAGGGAAGACGAGGGAAAAGCCAGACAGAGTTGGAATCAGTTTGGGAACTTGTGTCTGTGATGGCTGAGTAATCCAAGAGAACCTAGCAAATACATAATCCAGTATGGGAGTCTGGGCCTCAGAGATGTTGTCTGGGTTGAACATGTAAATACAGAACTTGCCCAAGATCACACAGCTTCTGAGCAGCGATGGGGAACAGGGAACAAACCCCTCTGACCACATTCATGCTTCTTTCTTGAAAACATGCAAAACCCAAAGAAATGGGAATCTGTGCTTTAAGCCTAGAATTACACAATCATTTCCCTCTACCAAAACTGCTAAAATAGAAAGTCTGAAATATTACATTTCAACTACTGTGCTGAACCTGGGACAAATACTATCTTATAAATATTAAAAGTTTTGTCTAATCATACTACTTATGCCAGAAAATTTGTGTCCCTTCTTGAAACCTGGCTTCTGCCAAGCCCATATTCCCTGTTTGACAAATACGCCTGAGTGTCAGTGAATCTCAAAGATATAAACATTATTAAATTTTTCCACCAAACTTCTAAGTCCCATGAAAATTAAAATCCAACTGTATAACTTGGTCATTTAGTGAGTACATGGCCTTTGATCCATTGGTCTGGGCTGAAATTATCATTTGTCTAATAATGGGAAATGCAGGTAAAGTGTCTGGTGAAAAAGAGAGAAAATAGGCAAGATGACAAAGAAACATTATGGAGCAGGTGGCAGAAGAAGAAACCCCAAAAATGACTAGGAAAGGACACTCAAGAGAGAAGCCAAGGCAAACATAACAAAGACGTCGAGGAAGGTAAATAATGTTGAAATAGTGGCTAGAGACAAAGTGGTAAATGGTAAAACCTGACAAATGCTTGAGTTTTTCAACAAAGAAGGCATTGGCAAAACTGGGGCTATTTCAGTGAAGTGGTATACACAAAAGTCAGATTTCTCTTAGCTGAAATGGGATTAAGAATCTGGAACTTAGAGAACTTAGTTGGTAACATTGGTTCTAGAAGTTTGGATCCAAAGAGGAGGAGAGATGAAACATTAGCCATGGAAGAGGAGTATACATAACACAATGAAAATTCTATGGCATGTCAACTATTAGTTGTGACTAAGTTTGGAGTGGAAGAACAATATCCTTAAATTCTTAGGAATGAAAGAATTTAAAGGTTATTGAGTACAGTGTCCAGCTCCTGTTCCAAATCCCTCTCTAAAACCATAACCACAACCATCTCTGTTTCACACCCAGAAATGGTCCTCCAAACTCAACACTGGGAGAATGCTGAGGGACAAACCTGCTTAGTCCACTTTCCAACAGCTCTACCCTTTAGAAAATGTTGCTTTAATTTGTCCAACAGATTCCTATGCTCAGTTCTAGTCCTCCATCTGTCTGGTTCTGGTTCTTCCTGAGGACACCACATCATACCAAACGGACTAGGATGGTTCTCTAGATGTCAGAGATAATCCTCTAGTCCTTGTCCAGATCCTTCAGTGTTTACTCAGAGAACTCAGCGATCTCCCCTATGTATTCATGGGATCATCCAGACTCAATCTAGTGGTCATGTATCCCTCTGCAGCCTCCAGAATGAATCACAACCCTCTTGGTAGTACCAAAGCAGAGCAGAAATGTGATTTCCTTCCTTCCTTGGCACCCTCAGCACTATGGAGCTGTTCTAGAATCCTGTTTGCTTTCTTGGCCAGGGTCCTTTCCTATACTCTGTAACTCCCCAGCTCCAGCCTAACCTTCCCCTGTCCAGTGATGACTGCTTACAGATGAAAGACACGCGCATGAGATGGAATGTATTTTTATGGAAAGGGTGTTCCAAAATGAGGGAAGAATCCCTCCAGGAGGGGGTAAGTTGGTGATATTCAGATTTTAGAGTAGCTTGAAGTTGACAGTTTGGAGTCAGGATCATAACCCTTCACATTGTTAGAACGGGCTGTTTTCACAGAAAATTTCAGGCAGCACTCTTGATCATTTGGGCAGGTTAAGTATTGAGTTTCAGTCTTTTTGCAGGTGTTTCTGCACATGCCATGGTAAAGCTGACATGGAATCCAAGGCTCTTGGCTCTTGCCATACTGGGATCTGAACAGGCCACCTGGGGAAAACAAACCCATGTTTAGTTTCCTTGCAGCAGTGACAATAGGAATGGGGAAGCATGATTTAAAGAAAACAAGCCCTGAGGATATTAACAGGATCCAGAGTAAAAACCACTTCAGTTCAAATCTGGGCTCTGTCATTATGGCTCCTCATCCTTAAGCAAGTTAGTTCAGTTCTCTGGCCCATCACTGCATCATTTTCACAATGGGTGTCATAATAGAACCAAGTTCTTACATTTGTGATGTTTAGCTTAGCATATATAGAGTGCTCAGGAGAGTATCTGGTGCATAATAAGTATAAGTATAAGAAGTAATGAAATAGGGCACCTGGGTGACTCAGTTGGTTAAACAAATGCCTTCAGCTCAGGTCATGATCCCGGAGTCTCAGAATCAAGTTCTGCATCGGGCTCCAATCTCCAATCTCTGCTTCTCCCTCTGACCTTCTCCTCACTCATGCTCTCTCTCACTGTCTCTCTCACAAATAAATAAATAAAATAAATAAATAAAATCTTTTTTAAAAAAAAAAGAAGTAATGAAATATTAAGCAGTGTGTTGATATAAAAGTATTTTCCTGAGGGTCCAGGGCTTCAAGGGCAGCTCCTGTGAGCACGTATTGGACATGCTTTCAAGTGCCTATACAGATGTGTGCTCCTCACACAGAGCTCTATCAGAGATAGCCAGGCTCCACTCTGAGGCAGGGCACACATACTTGAGCCCCTGCATGCCTTTGTGCTTCTAAACATTTGAGCAAACATGTACCACTCATGTTTGTACATTGGCCCCACAGAAACAGATACCATATAACATGTGCAGCACACTGATGTGCACACACAGGCACATATGCACGTCCATATTCACACCACTTGAGCATATATACATGTGCTCACTGTACAGAACTCTACCACACACTTTCCACATATGGCTAAAACCCATTCATGAGTATTGATAGCTATGTATCTGTCATCCAGATATGTGCATGTGTATATAGGTTCCTCAGCTGAAAATGCCCCAATGACAAAGTTCCTGACACTTAGCCTTCTATAAATATTAGTCATCAACAGTATTTGTTACCTATTGGAGCTTTCAAAGACAAAGGAGCCAAAGAAAACAATACTAACAATCATTGTCTCATGTCCAACATCCACTGTGTGTCAGGCATTTTGCAAATGTTATCTCATTGAAACTTCATAAAAACCTATTGTTATCTCTGTTCTTTAGATGAAGACACTGAGGCTCACAGAGAACTCTTGTTCTGTCCACATTTCCATACCTTATACTTGACCATTGTAGGATTCAATTTCTTTTCTCTATGATATTAAGCCCATGCACTTCCCTCTGTGTGTCACATTGCCTCTCTATATGATAGGATTTCTAGGACAGAGTGGCATCTTCCTGCATGATGTCTTCAGGTATAAGGACTTCTTCAGCTATCAATACATAGTCCAAAATCCAAAGCTTAGCACTCCAGGACCTTTTCCACCTGTCCCCTCATTTCACACCCATTCATCAACACTCAGTCTGTTCCAGGCCATGTACTCAGTGCTAAGCATGCAGAGGACTCCAATGCCCACCCACATTAATAAAAATTGGATAAGCAAGTCTGACATTATTTCTGCATGGAAAAAGAACATTTTGATAATTTTTTTTAAAGATTTTTTATTTTATTTATTTGACAGACAGAGATCACAAGTAGGCAGAGAGGCAGGCAGAGAGAGGAGGAAGCAGGCTCCCCGCTGAGCAGAAAGCCCGATGTGGGGCTCGATCCCAGGACCCTGGGATCACGACCCGAGCCGAAGGCAGAGGCTTTAACCCACTGAGCCACCCAGGCGCCCATTTTGATAATTTTTTGACAAAAGAATGTAAAATGTTCCAAGTTTAGATGAAGTCAGAGAATGTGAGGAGAAATAAAGTAAAAAAGAAAATGCCTTAGTGATAGACATCCCATAGCATTTTGGCACTGGTATGAATATGAACTGTCCCAGAAATTGGCACTCCAGCCCAGGGAAGGCTGCTACATCAGCCAGCCTGCTAGTTAACCAGAGCAAGGCAGTAAAAAATGGTACCCCTTCGTCCATGTTCCAACGTCATGGTACTGCTGCATTTCCTATTTTAATTCTCACCCTCATCATGGAGCCTCTCTCTTTTTTTTAAATAATTTTATTATGTTAATTACCATACAGTACATCATTAGTTTTTGATGTAGCATTCCATGATTCATTGTTTGTGTATAACACCCAGTGCTCCATGCAATACATGCCCTTCTTAATACCCATCATCAGGCTCACCCATCCCCCAACCCTCCTCTCCTCTAAAATCCTCAGTTTGATTCCTAGAGTCCATAGTCTCATATGGTTTGTCTCCCTGCTCTGATTTCTCCCCCTTCATTTTCCCCTTTCTTCTCCTAATGTCTTCCATGCTATTCCTTATGTTCCACAAATAAGTGAAACCATGTGATAATTGTCTTTGTCTGCTTGACTTATTTCACTCAGCATAATCTCCTCCAGTTCCATCCATATTGTTGCAAAAGTTGGGTATTCATCCTTTCTGATGGCTGAGTAATATTCCATTATATATATATGTATATATATATATATATATACATATATATATATATATATATATAGCACATCTTCTTTATCCATTTGTCTATTGAAGGGCATCTCAGCTCCTTCCACAGTTTGGCTATTGTGGACATTGCTGCTACAAACATTGGGGTTCATATGGCCCTTCTTTTCACTACACCTGTCTTTGGGGTAAATACTCAGTAGTGCAATTGCTGGGTGGAACCTCTCTTTTGGCACCATCCTACTTAAAAAAGGAGGAGGTCCTCAGGGGACCTCGCTAGAGTGACACCCACACTCTTCTGGCTGACATTTGAACTGGTGGACTTTCATTTTCTCCCAAATGCAGTGGATGGAAGCCAGGACATCCAAGATCTCCTCTTTGTAGGAATGAGAATCTGGCAAACTGACCTTTCCCTCACTCTCTCCATATGGTAAACATGTCAAGACAGACGCAGAAGGATTCTGCTAACTGTGGCTAAATAAACAAAGGTTTTGTTGTAGATATTTCTAGCTTCTCAATCCTGCAGGTGTTCTAACCCTGTATTGTTCTGCATCACTACAAACTAATACCCACATCAAGTTAACATCACCTTTGATCATCTCTCCATCTCCAAACTGAAGTCAGAGACCTGCTTTTATTTGATTGATTGATTGATTGATTGATTGATTTTCTTGTAATTTAATTTTTAAATTCTTTAAAATTTTTTTTTCTTCAAGTTCAATTTAATTAGCAATATACTGTATTATTGCAAGGGTAGAATTTAGTGATTCGTCAGTTGCATATAACAACTGGTGCTCATTACTTCAAGTGCCCTTCTTAATGCCCATCACCCAGTTACCTCATCTACCCACCCACATCCCCTCCAGGAACCTTGTTTCCTAGAGTTAAGAATCTCTTATGGTTTGCCTCCCTTTCTATTTTCGTCTTATTTTATTTTTCCTTCCCTTCACCTATGTTCATCTGTTTTGCTTCTTAAATGTCACATGAGTGAAATCATATGGTAAAATCATATGGTATTTGTCTTTTCTGATTGACTTATTTCTCTTAGCATAGCACCCTCTAGTTCCATTCATGTCATTGCAGATGGCAAGATTTCATTCTTTTTGATGGCTGAGTAATATTCCATTGTGTGTATATAAACCACAACTTCTTTAACCATTCATCTGTCAATGGACATCTGGGCTCTTTCCATATTTTGAGACCAACTTAAATATCAGCTTTGCTTCTGACCCTTTGTACTCTGTGCCCAGTCTCCCACTGTGAGAGATGGGAATGAGAGTGTTGGCAGTAGTAGGCAGAGAGGCAGGCAGAGAGACAGGGGAAGCAGGCTCCTCAGAAAATCTCAACTGTGTGAAGAAGGCTGTTAATAAGATGTGTCATACTTTATAATAACATGGAGACTTGTTAAGTATACTCACATCAAGTCTCTAAAGATTCTAATTTGATAGGTCTGAGGAGAGGCCACAGCAAAGGTGTTTGGCACAATGTCCCAGAAAATATGCATTTGTTCCTGCCTGAATTGAGAGCCACAACACTGCCTGACTTTCTCACATTGACCCATAGACATTGCCCAGCTCATTTCCCACTTTGGACTTGTATTAGGAGCAAATTAAAATATCAAAAATCGAAAAACAAAACATATGCCCTAGACTCTAACAGTTCCATCCAAAGCCAAAAGCAATGTAATACATGATTTCTCTGCCACCTGTGCATCACAAACATGATCCTTCCCTACCTCATTTCTGAGGTTCTTCCTACCTATATATATGTTTTAGGTATAAGTCGTTTATATATTCACTCATTCAATAAATGTTTACTGAAACCTACTCTGTGCAAAGCACTCACCTCAGCACTGGGAATACATAGATTTAAAAGACAGAGTCATGGCTTTAGGGGTGCCTGGGTGGCCCAGTGGGTTAAGCCTCTGCCTTTTGCTCAGGTCATTGTCTCAGGGTCCTGGGATCGAGCCCCACATTGGGCTTTCTGCTCAGCAGGGAGCCTGCTTATCCCTCTCTCTCTGCTTGCCTCTCTGCCTACTTGTGATCTCTCTTCCCTCTGTCAAATAAATAAATTAAATCTTAAAAAAAAAAAAAAGACAAAGTCATGGCTTTCAAACAGTTGAATTTCCAAAGCATATGTTTGGGGTGATGAAAGGAAAAAAATGACTTTGATTATCCTAGAAGAGTTTGTCCAGAATAGTTCCTGCCCATTAATTCTGCCAGGTGAAAGCATTAAATGGTTACTAAGGAAGCAACACTATGTACAACTTTTGAAGCATAGATTGATGTCTTCCTTTGTTGTTGTTACTTGCAAACCCACCTGTGGTTTCTACGGCTGCTCCAACATGGAAACTGAACTTTACTGAATGAGAACAAGTGTCTCTCAAGTAAAGAAGATGATACAGAGTGAGAAATACCGGGTAGGAGAAAGTAGAGTAGGAAGAGGATGGGAAGGGGAAGGAGGAATAGAAGACAGAGGAGAAAGGGAAAGAGGAAAAAGCAGTGATTCTGAACTCAGTCCCAAGAAAGGAGAGACAACCTTAGTTCTCTATAAGGCTGGGATTAGACAACTCCCATGTCTCTCTGTACTTGCCAAGTTTTGAGGAGAGACACTTGAGAACATTCCAGCCTCCTGCTTTCATCTTTCCTCACTGCCTACAGTTACATTTATTGCTTTTCAGTGCTCCTGAAAATCACACTCAACAAACTTTTTTAAGAACTTGAAAATATTACCAGATATTTTTCTTTTTTTTTTTTTTTAAGATTTTATTTATTTATTTGACAGAGAGAGAGATCACAAGTAGGCAGAGAGGCAGGCAGAGAGACAGGGGAAGCAGGCTCCTCACTGAAGAGAGAGCCCAATGTGGTGCTCGATCCCCAGACCCCGAGATCATGATCTGAGCCACCCAGGCACCCCCAGATATTTTTCATGCAGCATTCATTCTCCCCATTTCAACAGCCACAGCTCTGCTGTGATGAATGAAACTGTCCTTCTCAAGCTTAATTACCCCCAAACTCAGGCTAAGGCAATCTCTGCCCAGATAAACCCCACATATCCCCAGTTTGATAACACACCTACTTAAACCAAACACCTAACTCCAACTGTTCTCTAACCACCTAAGGCTCAGTTATAAAATTTAACACAAACGTGACAATAGCCAAGCCACCCATCCCCAATTCACAGCATCAATCCAAAACACAGCCCAACCACCACCCTCTCCATAACTCAGTTCTATCCAACTCCACTTCCAGCTCCATTAAAAAAAAAAAAAATCCCATTTTCTCTCAAGACTACACCATAACATCAGTCCAGCCCAATCCTGTAAATAGAATTTTCACCCTCTCCTCGTGCCCACTCATTTTTCTGATATTATTCTCTCTCTCTCTCATATACCATCCCCACCACAACTCACTCTCCCAAACTACCATTGTTCCCTCTGATAGCTCCCCAAATTACATCCAATGTCTCACATCTAATGCATGCATCAAGCTCCCCTCCTACCAACAGCACCGCCTAAAATTCTTCATGCTTCAATACTCCACTATGCCAGGAACAGCAGGAGGAGCAGCCTCTTAAATTTGTCTTGGCAGAGCAGAATCAGGGGAGATCTTGACAGGAGATGGACCTTGGGAGTAACATTCACAACCTATCTGAGACCTGAAAGGCCATAGGTAGTGCCTGTGGTATGTGAGTAGGAATTATCTCAGAGGTCACTAAGAAAACAATACGACATGCAAGACCCCAGAACCTTTGAGAGAGGCCTGAGTTACCTGGAGTCTTACGAACCAGGATCAGAAGGATGGAAATGGTCATTAAATAGGGCTTCATGACTGACATGTCCTGAGAGAATGGAAGGCTGTGCTGCAGAGGACGGAACAGAGATCACTACAGCAGAGAAATGTCCCGCCTTTATTAGTTTTGGAAATGGGCCAGGGTTGTGTGCAGTGAACTAAAAGGGATGAAACATACCTGGGGTCAGCCAGGCAGAAGGATAACATGTATCACATATCTCAGCTGGGCACTTTGTGTAAGTGTGGGAGATTTGCCAGAGGCACCCATATCAAAGTGCACCTTCCTTCCCAAAATGAAACAAAGGCAAATTAGAGGCCGTTGGCAAATGTGTGTGAGACAAATTTGAATGAGTGAATGAATCAAGCAAGCAATGAGAAAACTAATACATAAATATAAGAAATAAGGAGTCCTTTCTTAAACATTGGTGTTTATCATCCTGATAGTAGAGTGTCCAGCTCTGTCAGTAGTACTTACTGCATATCCAATCCAATACTAGGCATCAAGGACTAAGAAAAGAGAAGGGAAAGACAATGATGATCAAAGAAAAGATGGAGAAGATTAACTGAAGGGGAAGTATAAGTGGTAGAAGGAAGGGAAAGACATGAGGCAAAGATAAAGGCAGTTCATATTTGCCATAAATCAACTATGTCAGTTTCTGTACTAAATACTATGGGCTAGATCTGAACACTTACGACAACACTGTGATGTTAGATAATATTTTCCACTCCACCGATGAGGACAAGAAAATTTGAAGAGATGATATAACACTCCTAAGCCACACATCTGATGAGACGTAGAGCCTAGATTAGAAATGATATCTGTCTAATAAAAAAAATTTTTTTTAAAAAGAAATGATATCTGTCTGACAGTATATACCTTTGGGATTTTCCATTCTTCCTGTGAGCGGAAAGACAGAAATGAGAGATTAGACAAAAACATAATCAAACACTAAAAATCAGAGAGTGATTCACTGTTCAACATAATAAATTTAGTTTGAGGAATTCAGTGCTCATCTCTTGAGAATGAGGGGCGCCTGGGTGGCTAGTGGGTTAAGCCTCTGTCTTTGGCTAGGGTCATGATCTCACGGTCCTGGGATCGAGTTCTGCATCAGGCTCTCTGCTCGGTGGAGAGCCTGCTTTCTCCTCTCTCTCTCTCTGCCTGCCTCTCTGCCTACTTGTGATCTCTCGCTATCAAATAAATAAATAAATAAAATCTTAAAAAAAAAAAAAAAAGAAAGAAAGAAGAATGAAAGGATTTTTTGGAGGAAACCACATTGACTTTTTACTCCAGGGAATCATGTGGAAGGTGGATGGGCAGGATCCAGTCTTTTGAATGGAAGTCCGGAAATGAATGAAAAGGCTCTTTTCAAAAGTCTAAGATAGGATTGCTACATCTTGCCACAACAAGGCAAATGGAACTGGACTAGTCCTCCCAAGTGTAAATGGAATTGTACTAGCCATCCCACTATACACAACTCTAACACTTGAAAAAATAAAGAGTAACTATTTCAATTACTGAATTAAAGGCAGAGCAGAAATGAAAAGGCAACTTACAATGTGAGAAAATATTGCAAACCACCTATCTGATAAGGGGTTAATATCCAAAATATATAAGCAACTCATGCAACTCAAAAACAAAAAACAATTCATCCAATTAAAAAGTGGGTAAACACTATGACCCAGCAATTGCACTGCTGGGTATTTACCCTAAAGATACAAACGTAGTGATCCGAAGGGGCACATGCACCCGGATGTTTATAGCAGCAATGTCTACAATAGCCAAACTATGGAAAGAACCTAGATGTCCATCAACAGACGAATGGATAAAAAAGATGTGGTATGTATACACAATGGAATACTATGCAGCCATCAAAAGAAATGAAATCTTGCCATTTGCGATGACGTGGATGGAACTAGAGGGTATCATGCTTAGCGAAATAAGTCAATCGGAGAAAGACAACTATCATATGATCTCCCTGATATGAGGGAGAGGAGATGCAACATGGGGGGTTAGGGGGTAGGAGAAGAGTAAATGAAACAAGATGGGATTGGGAGGGAGACAAACCATAAGTGACTCTTAATCTCACAAAACAAACTGAGGGTTGATGGGGGGGAGGGGGGTTGAGAGAGGGGAGTGGGGTTATGGACATTGGGGAGGGTATGTGCTATGGTGAGTGCTGTGAAGTGTGTAAACCTGGTGATTCACACACCTGTACCCCTGGGGATAAAAATATATTATATGTTTATTAAAAATAAAATTTAAAAAAAAAGTGGGTAAACAAACTGAGTAGACATTTTTCCAAAGAAGATGTTCAAATGGTCAACAGGTACCTGAAAAGATGCTTAACATCGTTCATCATTGGGGAAATGCAAATCGAAACCATAAGATACCACCTCACACTGGCTAGAATCACTACGATCAAAAAAGAGAAGAGATAACAAATGCTGGTGAGGATGAGGAAAAGCGAACCCTTTGAGTACTATGGGTGGGAATGTAAACTGGAATAGGCACTATGGAAAATTATATGGAGGTTTCTCAAATTAAAAATAATCCTTCCGGGCGCCTGGGTGGCTCAGTGGGTTAAAGCCTCTGCCTTCGGCTCAGGTCGTGATCTCAGGGTCCTGGGATCGAGGCCCGCATAGGGCTCTCTGCTCAGCGGGGAGCCTGCTTCCCCCTCTCTCTCTGCCTGCCTCTCTGCTTGCTTGTGATCTCTTTCTTTCTGTCAAATAAATAAATAAAATCTTAAAAAAAAATCCTTCCAAATGATTCAGAAATTCCACCTCTAGATATACATCTGAAGAAAGTGAAATTACTATCTCAAAGAGATAACTGCACTTCCTATTAATTGCATCATTTACAGTACCCAAGACATGAAAACAACCCAAGCATTCATCAACAGATAAATGAATGAAGAAACACTCTTCCAAAAAAAGCCTATACCTGGCCAAAAGACTAGGGAAAGGGTAGCCTAACAACAGAAAACCATCTTGGCAATACTCACCCTATTCCAATAACACTAATGGAAAAAATCTCAGTCCTCCTTTCCCCATGGTTTCAAAAGGTTTTCCCACCCTACCCATGGTTTTCACCCCTCTCTATAAAAGCAGTGCTCAGACTTCCTCACCAGCTGTTGTTGGTGGGGACTTATGGGGAGGTAATCTTCCATCTCCTAAATGGCAGAAGCAGGGGTTGCTTTGATTCTCTTGCAAAGTAGTGTTAACAAAGCCCAGGGGGTAGCTGAGCCTCCTTTTCCGCCCACCATTAATGGAGACTGAATAACAGTGTAAATCATGGCTCCTAAGCACTTTACTTTTCTCCCACCCTCCTTTACCAGCATAATCCAAAGGGGAGATTAAATATATACAAGTCCCCAGCCTCAAGTTATGTCTCAGCTGAGGATTGCCTGCTAAGAAGAAAAAGGAGAAGGAGGAGAAGAAAAAGAAGAATTCAGAATGTCATAATATTATAACCAAAATGTCGAGAACACAATATTTAAAAAAATCACTCTTGCCAAGAAACAAGAAAATAACAACATGAATGCGGGGGGGGGGGGGGGGGGGGGGGGGGGCAGGGACAATGAATAGACATCAATACCAAGATGAACCAGATGTTGGGATTTTTCTGACAAGTATTTTAGAGCAGCCATCATAAAATATTTCAAGAAGCAATTAATAATTATTTTGAAGCACATAAAAAGAAAGTTTGGCAAAGAAAATAAAAGCTATTAAAAAACTGAATATCAGGGGCACCTGGTGGCTCAGTCGTTAAGCGTCTGCCTTCGGCTCAGGTCATGATCCCGGGGTCCTAGGATTGAGCCCCGCAATGGGCTTCCTGCTTGGCGGGAAGCCTGCTTCTCCGTCTCCCACTTACACTGCTTGTATTCCCTCTCTCACTGTGTCTCTCTCTATCAAATAAATAAAGTAAATCTTAAAAAAAAACCCTGAATATCAAGAAAAGAAAAATATAATCACTGAAATTTTAAAAATTTACTAGAGGCATTCAGTGGTAGAGTGGAGGTGATAAATGATATAACTGATGAACTTAAGGAAAGGTCAATAGAATTTATCCAATCTGAGCAACAGAGGAGAAATAGACTGAAAAAAAAAAAGTGGATTCTCAAGCACCTGTGGGACAATAACAAAAGAGCTAATGTTCAAATCATCTAAGTCCCACATGAGAGGAAAAAAAGAGAGAGCGGGACTGAGAACAAACAATCCAATTAGAAAATGGGTGGGGGGTGGAGGGGGTACTTGGGTGGCCCAGTCGTTTAAGCATCTGCCTTTGGCTTAGGTCAGGGAGTCTGCTTCTCCCTCTCCTCCCAGCTCACTATCTCTGTCTCTCTCAAATAAATAAATTAAATGTTAATAAAAAAAAAAAAAAAGGTAAAGACACACATATTGTCTGTCTTTATTTATTGAATAAACTGGAGAGTCCAGAAATATAGCCCTCATATATATGCTCAGGTAATTTTTGACAAGGATGTGAAGTCCATTCAATGGGGAAAGAATAGTCTTTTCAATAAATGGTGTTGGGAAAATGATATTCACGTGCAAAAAAAATTAAATTGGAGCCCCACCCTATACCATATACAAAAATTAACTCAAAATTGATAAAAATACTTAAGAATAGGAGCTAAAACTACCAAACCCTTAGAAGAAAACATAAGGAGAAAGCTTTATGACATTAGATTGGGGATGATTTTTTGGATATGACAACAAAAGCACAGATAACAATAGCAAAATAGGTATGTTGGACGTGATGAAAATGTAAAACTTGTGTGTATCAAATAACACTATTAAAAGAATGAAAAGGCAAACATATTTGCAAATCATATATCTGATAAATGATCCATATATCTGATAAGGATATTAATATCCAGATTATATAAAGTACTCCTCCAATTCAACAGATACCTGATTAAAAATGGACAAAGAAAAAAAAATGGACAAAGACCTCAAATAGACATTTTTCCAAAGAAGATCTGCGAATGACCAAGAGCACGTGAAAACTTGCTCAAAATCACAAATTGTTAAGGAAATACAAAT